GCAAGGTGCAGTGTGTCTGACTGTGACTGATCAGACCAGTACCAGCTTGCAAGGCTCTACCACAGGTCTGAGGGCAGAGACTCCATGCTGGGTGGCAGAGAGAAGTCAATCTGGAATTTTAAAAAGCTGCTTTGCATAACCCACAAACTCTGTGTTCTCCCCTTGATAGACCCCAAACCCCGTCTGTGTGTTAACTAATGTTTCTGCATTGGCAGAAACAACACAGAAGGAAAATATTGCTTTGAATCAGATGTAGTAAAGTGAGTGTGGCCAGCATGAGCCAAAAAGAAAAATCCAGTTTCATCGAAGGTGCCTTCCTAAGGAGTATGCGAATCCTTTGAATATCACCATTCTTTCTGTTTATGCTTTGTTAAAGGGACCTCCAGATAAAAATGAGATTACACGGTTGGGAACTGTACCCCTGGGCCTCCTCAGAGCTGCCTGTCCCCGTAGGAGACTGTCTTCATCCTAAGTGTATTCCTTTCTGGCTTAGAGGTGCTTCCTAAGCCACAGGTGAAAAATATAGTTGGCCTCAATCGAGAAAATGGATAAACTACACTTCATTTGTGTCACTGGATAAATCTGTAATAGGCAATGTAAGTGCCTTATCAAATGACTAAGAGCCCAGGCTCTCTCCCTCTGGCAAAGAGTGCGCATTAACGTTACATGACCCAATGAATAATGGAATCTACTCCAATTTCCTGCACACACCCCTTTTCACTCTATTTGCAGACCGTGTTCTCCAGGACATCTTCCTTGCAGGGCGTCTGGCTTTTTCACTGCTTCTCAGTTATTGTGACTCAATAAAATATGAATCCAGTAGATTTAAACTTAATGTAGGCCATGGTCATATTTTCAAAGCAACACTGCAGGCATGTGTCAGAGAGCCCTGCCTAATGGGATTTGGAAGAGATCAAACTATGCCTTTCCAGAGTCAGTAATGAAATCCATACCTGGCCCACCTGAGGGAAGCCAGGATGGATTGGGTTTTGTTGGGTCTATGAAGAAAGGTTTCAGGAGGCTCCTAAGGTGTGTTTCCCCTCCCCAAAGCACAAGTTCAAGTAAGGTGACTAAGGTGGGTTCTGAAACTTTTGGGAGACACTTATTAATGCCTTTTTTCATGCAGGTGGCACAAAAGATAGAGGACTAGACTGGGAGCCTGGTAGCTGAGGTCAAATTAGTTCAAGCCATGTTGACTAGAGTTCAGGTAGATACTCATTAGATGCATGACCCTGGGCAAAAATAAACAAAATAATAATAGCATTTATATAACATTGTAAACTTTGCAAAGGGCTTTGCATATGTAATAGGTGTCTTTTCCAGGTAGCTAGGTAGCATGGTGGGTGGAGAGACAGCCTTGGAGTTCACATAGACCTGGGTGCAAATCCTGCCTCAGACATCTACTGGGCAACCCTGGGCAAATCACTTAACCTCTTAGCCTTTGTTCCTTTTTTTAAAAATTTCAATTTTATTTTATTATAGTTTTAGTTCTGAATTCTTTCCATTCTACTTCCCCCTCCCCTATCCATTGAGAAAACAAGAAAAATAAAACTGTTACAAATATGCATAGTCAACAAAACAAATTCCTGTATTTGCAAGGTCCAAAAAAAAATATGCTTCAATGCATTCTGTCACCTCTTCAAGGAGGCTGAGCCTCAGTTTCCTTATCTGTAACTTGGAGATAATAATAATAATATCCATCTTATAGGATTAATGAGATATATGTGAAGTGCTTTATAAACCTTTAGTGCTACTTATTATTATTATTAATCCTTATAATAATCCTGTGAGGTAGGTGATATCTTACTCTCATTTTATGGATGAGAAAACTGAGGCTGAAAGAGGTTATTATTGTTATTGTTGTAATTTTATTATTAATCCTTACACTAACCCTGAAAGGTGGGTGCTATTATTCCCCCCATTTTATAGGTGAGAAAACTGAGGCTGAAAGAGTTTAGATGACTTTGCCAGGGTCACACAACTTGTCACATAGCCTCACTCAACCTCTCCTCATCTTTGCAATGAGGGGGTTGAACCAGATGGCCTGTCTGTCCTTTCCAGTTCGGTATCTATGATCCATGAATGTGGTCTGCCATGCAAATTCTGCTCAGTTCAATAAGCATTTATTAAGCCCTTGCTGAGTGAGAAGTACTCTGGGGATCCAAAGACCAGGCAAAGGATGAGTCCTTGCCCTCAAGAGGCTTAAATTCTGTGGGAGATGAAGTTGTTCCGGGGAGGATGCAACATGACCACAGGTAAATAAATATGTCGTCATTCCCAGAAGAAGGAGGCGCTGACAAGCAGGGAAATCAGGCCAGGTCTCTGTGGGAGATAGTCCTTGAAGGGTGAAGTCAGCAAGGGATTCCAAGAGGGGCAGGAGAGCACCCCAAATCTGGTGAAGAGCTCATGCCAATCGGGCTGGAACAGAGAGTGAGTCAACGAGAATGCTGTGAGAGCAGGCTAGAAATGGAAGCTGGAGCCAGACTGCAAGAGGCTTTAAATGCCAAAAAGGGAGCTGATATTTGATCCTAGGGGCAAATGGGAGGTACTGGAGCTGTTGGAGGGGGAGCGTAACATGACGAGACCAGTACTATAGGAATATCCCTGGTTCACAGCTGTGTGGAGGATGGATTGGAGGGGAGAGAGGCTGGAGAAAGGGAAACCAATCAGGAGGAGGTGAAAATAGTGCAGGTGAGGGATGGCGAGGTCTGAATGGGCGGGTCTAGGTTAGCAGTAAGAAGGAGCTAGAGAGGGAGAATAAACAAGATTTGGATATGGACCTATTGGATAAGGAGGGTCAGAGAGAGGAAAGAACAAGGGATGACTCCAATATTTCTAACCAGACAGACTGGAAGAATGGTAGTCCCCTTGATGGAAAGAGGGAAATTAGGAAAGGGGGTGAGTTTGGGGGAAAGATATTTAGTTCTCGTGGACATGGTTAAGTTGAGATGCTTACGAGATATTTGGTTTGAGATGCCCAATCAGCAGCCTCTTTCTGGGACTTCCCAGAGGAGTTGAGAGGGCTGCCCCTTCCCTACCCTGGCAGAGAAAATGTACTACTGGCACCTGGTTAAGTCCAGGGAGGGAGAGGCAGTGAAATTCTTCAGTAGGGCTAGGAGACAGCTTCAATGAATAGAGGTAAGAATAGAACAGAAGCTCTCTAGGGAAGGTTCACAGGACTGCAAATAAGGGAGAGCATGAATGAGGAACTCCCTACCTTGAATACATTTTTTGCTCTTTCTGTAAAAAAGATGGAACAGGCAATAGTAATTTGTGTGGAGGTGAAGCCTTGGAAGTCGGTGTTAATTTCAGTATGATGGAGCTGAGGGGAAAAGACTCTCTTTTATTCAATTTTTATCCTGCTCCCTCTTCCTTTCCCCTCCCCAGTACCTTGTACATGGTAGGCATTCAAAACTTTGTTGATTGAATGAATGGGGGAATGAGTAAATCAACTTAAGGCTTTATAGACACAGTAGATACAGGTGAAACCAAGGGAGGACCTAAGTTCAAATTTCAACTCTGTTATTGATTTACGCTTGTGATCTTGGGCAAATTATAAGCTCTTTGAGCCTCATTTTCCTTACCTGGAAAAGAAGGGATTGGGTTAGATGACCTCTGTGGTAGTAACAGTATCTGTCATTGAGGTTAAGCTAGTTTTTCTTTAAAAGGTATTGAAATAGTGCTTAAGACTTTCATTGGCCAGGGGACTGTAGCTGGGACCATTGATGTGGATTCCTTATGGCGTGTAAATTAAAAAAAAACCAAAAGAAAAATAAAACAACCCAGCCCAGGAGAAGGTAGGAATTACTCTCTTCTCTCAGGTTTCTGACCAGTGGACTAGAATAGCCCACACAGAGTCAAGAAAGATACACCAATCAATCCTTGCTAAATAGCCTTTTCCTGCTCAGGCTAAGTAAGTCTCCCTTTGTTAACTGCTAGGTGACTTATGAATGTCTCATCCCATTTGAGATATCAAGGTGGTAGGAAAAATCATTATCAGTGGTGGGGGAAGGGGGGGGTGGGGAGGGGGAAGCTCTCCCTCTTGCCTTCTTCCTATGCCCAGGCTTTTTGACTGCTCACAGGACTTGGATTGGATGGGAGTCAACAGTGACATTATTTCTAATGAGATGAAAGACTGACTACCACGTTTTCCCATGTGCCTTGCTACTACTGCCTCCTAAAGTTCAGATTTCACCATTTGCCTTGCCTCTCTGTGTTCTACAGTCCCCCCATACTGTTTTCTGTCCTGCTCAAGGAACCTAAGGATCTTTGTTCCTTCACTGGCCCCACCACTTAACCTTTAGGATTTGGGGGCTGTTTCCATCTTCTTTGCAGCTAACCTTATTTTACATGTTATATCTCCCAATTAGAGAGTGAATTCCTTCTTTTTCTCTTTGAATCTCCATAGCTTCGTATGGTGCTTGGCACATGTTCAGGGTTAATAAAGTAACAAATACATTAATAACTTATTAATAAATTAACAAATGCTCTTCCATTCATTTCTTTCTAATCCAAACCAAACAGCCCTTCTGTATTAGTCTCAGCCTACAAAAGCTTCCGAGGTCCCTACCATCCCTAAAGCTAAAATATATAGCTTTCTATAAGATATTTCTATAAAAAAATTCCTGTAAGTCCGAGGAGCTGGAGATATCCTAGAGACCAAGGAAGAAGGGCTGCACAGGTCTGTTCTGTCTCTCTGGTCTAATCTGTATTGCAGAGAGATGCTCAAAAGCCCTTTCCCACAGAATTACTTAGTCATTGTACATTGACTTGATAATATGGCCTGCCTGGACTTGCTCTGATATTTTAATGTGGCTATTGATAGGAGTTTAGCTGAAAGTCACAGTAAAGTTAATGAACCAAAGCCAAAAAAGTTATAGAAAGGGAATGAAGAAGTGAATCTTAGACTTTAAGAACGATATTTCAGATTTCCCCCCATAGTAAAAGGCACTAGTCTTTATAAAGGAGTAATTTTCTCTACCTTTTTTTTTTTTCATTAGACCAAGTTCTGGTGCTAGAGTTCAGCCAGAAATCATGACTACCATCCAGGTTTTTAACAACTTCGACTGTAAAATGACCTGAAAAAAAAAAAGCCAGTCAAAGTCTTCTCTGCTTTACATTTGTCTGGCTGTTCTTTGGAATTCCATGCCTTACAAACACCGGTAGCCAAGATTCCATCAAGGCTCCATGCCCAGACGCAGATTGGGAGCCTCGACTCAACCTGGATTCCGGTTATTCATTCAGATTTTATCTGCCTGACAGTGATCCTGATTCCCCTGGAGGTCTTTGGGAGCTTTAGGAAAAACACCTGGAAGAGCAAAGACAGCAGGGCCTTTGTGTTCTTGACACACGTAATCATCTCGAGGCTGGGAGGTGATGGGTGCTTAGGCCTCTGGAAGCTAGGTAAAGGCGCTGCGGGGCTTCTCTATTAACTTTCCCGGATCCTGGTTCTGGAGTTCATTGGAATAATAAACCAGAGAAGGAAGGAAGACTTAGAAAGGGGATGTTTGTTATTCTCCTGTGGGTTCTTCCCCTATTGACCTTGGGGGAATAATAATAGCAGCCTTTATGCCAGGCTTAATAATAACAATAATAATAGCTGGTATTGATATAGCCCTTTAAGATATGCAAAGTGCTATGGATACAGTGAAGTCCTCTTTTAGCTTGAATTCTACCTGTAATGGATTTGAGCCTCACTTGGCTTTAGGGTTTATAATCAATCCACAAGCTGCTCAGTCAATATTGGGGCCTACTATGTGCCTTGCATAGTGCTGGGGATGTACAGATAAAGATGCTGTCCAGGACCAAGGGCTCCAGTCTGAGGATTGTAGAAACACACCCGAAAGAGCCTCAAAGTTCATCTGGTCCAAACTTCTCATTTCGTAGATGAAGAGACAGCCCCAGTTTCCATTCTATCAGGGCATGCACACATATAAATATGTACACGAAATGTACAAAATAAATGCAAGGTTTAAAAAAAATGAATATTAAGTGTTTTGTCCTTCAATTACTCATTGAGGTAGGTGGTGGGAAAATTATACCCATTTTATAACTGAGAAAATAGAGGTTTCAGTTTTATACATTGAAGTAAAGAAGTCTGAAGGCTTCTCATAACTATTATCATTCCTGAGACCTGGAAATGGGCTTCCTTGGAATAACAAATGAGAAAGGAAAGGATGGCTTAGAAGAAAAGACGATTTCCTGCCAAACCCCTCCCCCTACTTGCTTTAGAAAGGAGATATTATTTTCCTCTGGTTGTTTTTCTCCCCAGAAGGATTAAACCCTGGGGAATAATCAGAGTTCACATTTATAGAGCTATAAGGCTTGCAAAGAGCTCCACTCTCCATGGTTTGGTGGGTAGGTGATACAGGTATTATGCCCATTTTGCAGATGAGAAAACTGAGGCTTCAGTTCTTTAAATTAAAGTACAGAGGCACTGAATGCTTCTCTGTCTATTAACATGACTGAGATATGGAAATGGATTTCATTGGAATAGCAAAATGCAGAGGAAATGGCTGGTTCAGGAGGGAAGACCATTTCTTCCCTCCCCTTTCATGATTTAGGAAAACGTTTTCCTTGAGGTGCTCCTCCCCTCTCCCACCTCCCTGGCAAGGATTGGTGACTAATAATAGCTCATATTTACATAGAACTTTTAAGGTTATCTAAACATTTTGCTTACCACTATCCTGTCTGGTAGATAGTACAAATACTGTCTCCATTTTATAGATGAAGAAACTGAGACTGGAGCTAGAAAGTGACTTTTCCAAGGATCATGTAAGTTAGCAGCAGTCTGACCCCAATTTGATCTGAATGTCTTTTGACTCTTTTCCTCCTCTATCACATAACAGACTGTGAGTCCCCAGTCTGGTCCTTTAGGATAAAACACACTCTCTCTCTTTCTCTCTCTCTCTCTCTCTCTCTCTCTCTCTCTCTCTCTCTCTCTCTCTCTCTCTCTGTTTCTGTGTCTCTCTCTCTGTCTCATACTATCTATACACACGTATATGTACATACATACACATATGTGTACATATGTAATGAGTATGGGTATAAATACAGGTGCATATATACATAACATGTGTATGTGTACACCTGTGATTTCATTGGCTTAGTGAACTCCCAGGTGAGAAAACTCTCTTTCACCAGTGTAAGACTGCTCCTTCACAGAGTCTTAGTGAACCGCCCAAGGCACTACGAGATGAAGACCCTGCCCTGGGTCCCGCAGTCACAATATGTCAGAGTCAGGTCCTCCTAGGTCTGAGGGTGGCTCTCCACCCCCTGTCACTATGCATCTTGAATATATCCCTACACACACACACACACACACACACACACATAAATACACACACATACTCATACTCACACATATTGCAAAGAGGTCTGAGGGTAGATTGTGTGTGGAAATATGAAGTTGTAAAATGGTAAAACAAATAGTCAGGGGTTTCCCAGACAATGTTCTAGAAAAGCAGTTCTCCAGCTTTTTGATATCAGAACCTCTTTACTCTCTTAAAAATCACTGAGGACCCATTGAGCTTTTGTTGATGTAAGTTATGTCTATTGATATTTACCATGTTAGAAATGAAAATAAATCAAATTTTAAAAATATGTTTATTAATTCATTAAAAATAACAGTAATATGTTAGCATAAATGATATTTTTATGAAAAAATAGCTATACTTTTCAAAACAAACACATTGGTGAGAAGAATGGAATTGTTTCACTTTTGCAAATCTCTTTGGCTTAACTGAAGACAGCAGGATACTCATATCTATTTCTGCATTCAATGTGTTAGCTGTGTGATCCTGGGCAAGTCATCTGACTTCTGAAACACTCAGTTTCCTTCTCTGTAAATCAAGGATAATGATATTACCTAACTCACAGGGTTGTTGAGATGCTCCAATAAGATAATTATATATATATATATAATATCAGAGGTAGCTAGGTTGCTCAGTGGATAGAGCTCTGAGCCTGGAGTCAGGAAAACCTAAATTTAAATCCAGCCCTGGACACTTAATAGCTGTGTGACCCTGGGCAAGTCACTTAATCCTGTTTGCCTCTGTTTCTTCATCTGTAAAATGAGCTGAAGAAGGAGATGGCAAGCCTCCAAGATCTTTGCCAAGAAAACCCCAAATGGGGTAATGGAAACTCAGACATGAATGAAACAACTGAATGATAACAATGCTTCCTTTTTTTTTTCTTGATAAGACAATTGGGGTTAAGTAACTTGCCCAATGTCACAAAGCTAGTGAGTGTTACGTATCCGAGGTTGGATTTGAACTCAGGTCCCCTTGACTACAGACCCAGTGCTCTATCCACTACGCCACATAAACACCCCTAACAATGCTTCCTTTAAAAAAGAATAAGGTCTCAGGTAACATCCAAAGCAAACAAGTGCTGTATAATGCCTCCCCCTTTCTGAAATGTTATACCAGAGCCCATACTTGGCTTTTGGGCTCTATAAATATCACCCACTCTGAGGGTGCATTGGCTCCAAAGGGCAGCAAACCTGATGAAATAACAGGTCAAGTCTTCCTAGATTTGCTGAGAGAAGGGGTCGAAGGACAGGAGTAGAGTAGGAAAGAAGTGGGAAAGGATGAATCGTCCACAAGAGTTACTTAAGCCCAGCTGGGTTTGTAGAAACCCAAAGCCCTGGGTGTCCATAGTATTGGCAAGGACAACCTGAAGGAAAGACTTGAGAGTTTGAGATCTCTTTTCTGGCAGTCTGTACCTTTTGCTTTTCAATTATTCATTTAAATGCGTTTTCATTTAAATTAGATGACTGTTCATTTAAAAAAGCCACCTTTTGGGCTCCTTGGGACTGTGGGTCAAGGTAAATAACCCAACAGAACGATTGATTCTGATAAAGGAATTTGCCTCAGAGGGTAACCTTTCATTCTACAGACTGTTTTGTGGAAGAATTGCTGAACTCACTAAACCTGGCCCTTTCTCTAGTTAGCTGTTTCAAGTTGGACAGGTCATCTCCACTCAAGCCTCAGTTTCCCCAGCCATCAAATGGAAATCTGGGACCAAATAATCTCCCAGCTCAGATATTCAGCTCTGATATTGGATAATCACAAAATAAAAGGGCCTAAAGTAATTGAAGCAAAGTGAAGCAGTATGGGAAAGGGAGGCAGTGGGATGCAATTGAAAGAGTAGTAGTCTAGAGTCCATGGACCTGGGTTCAAATCCTACCATGCTGCTTACTGTGTGATCCCAAGGAAATTGCTACCTCCCTGGTCTTAGAGCTTTCCTAATCTACAAAAAAAAAGAGGGGGGGGGTTTAAGACTTTATGGCCCCTCTGGTTTTTTCCAGCTCCCAATTTACAAGCTGTTTGGTTACACAGCGACCAGCTTCAAGTCAAAGGAGCAGAGATTTAAAATGAAAAGGAGCTTTAGAGGTGACCTGCTGACTTGCCCAGGGCCACACAGTTAAAAGCAACAGAGCTTGTGATCGTCTCCGGACTCAGGTCCTCCTCTGACTCCAAATGTGGCTCTCTTTCTACTGTGCCATAGGCCTCAATGTCTAATTTCCAGTACAGCTAGGTGGCCCAGTGAATACCATGGAAGATTTTGAATCAAGAAGACATGAGTTCAAATTGTGTGTCCCCCCCCCCCACCATGTATCAGCTTATGACCCTGGGCAAGTCACTCATAACCTCTCTCAGCCTCATTTTCCTCATCTGTAAAATGGTTATAATAATAGCTCCTACTTCCCAGGGTGGTTGTGATAATTAAATAATATATGTTCAGTCCTTGTAAATCTTAAAGCACTCTATAAATGTTAGTGATGATGATGATGGTGAAAGCTGATTCTCCTGAATTTAGTTCCTTCAGCCTCCTTTGGTAAATGGTGCTTTGGGATTGTCAAAGGGCAGCAGATCTCCTCCTTCTCTTCTGTTCTTTGAAAAGCTTCTGGGTCATAAGCTGAAGCATCCCTCTATCCTGTATCAAAAGATGCATCTTCTTTTCATCATCCCCTAATTCTGGCCTTCATCTTAGTCTTTTAAAAAATGCATCTGTCTAGATATTAACAGAGTGAGTTAGGCAATAATCTCTGTGAAATTACTTATTGCTGGCAGTTTTCATTAATCAATTTGTTTGTTAATAGCCTGGGGTGATTTTTGTAGTCATAAACTCTGTTCA